TGTGTGTGTGTGTGTGTGAGTTTCCGGATGGGTGGAGAAGGTGTTGAGTCTAGGCAGAGTGGACTGCCTGGTGCAGTCAGATGCAAAGGACCTGGGATGAGAGATTTAAATGTGTTAGATAAGCTGAAAGGAGGCAAGTGGCTGAGCATCCAGGGAGCAAGGCTGTAATGGCAGTGGGCAGAGGGCAGCACAGTCAGTGCCTCATGCCAGGCGCTGTGCCAGTCATCTGAAGACTGTCACTGAAGTCCACAAAAGGCACAGACTAACAGAAGTAAGGCAGAAGGAGAGTTTTAGTTTTATGAAGACTGTTCTAGCCAGGTGTGGCTGGAGGCTGAGGCAGGAGAATTGTGAGTTCCAGCCTAGCCTGAACTTGCTGAGTGACTTAGCAAGACCCAATCTCAGAATAAAAGTGGCTGGGGATGCAGCTCAGTGCAAAGGCTCTGGGTTCAGTCCTTAGAGGAGGGAGAGGAAAGGGAGGAGGAAAACGAGGAGGAGGGAAGAAGGAAAGAAAAGGAGAAGGAGGAAGAGGATGAGGGGAAGGAGGAGGAGGGGGAGGAGGAAAAGAAAGGGGGAGAGAAAGAGGAGAATTTTTCCGATCACTCCTTAGCAAATGGATTACTGTTACCTGATCTGAAGAATTCTGCAATGCAATCTACCCAAGTATAGTTGCAAGCAGAATGGTAGGAGCCAGCCATTATGCTTTGAATCTCAGCCCTACATGATATAAGCTGTAGAAAAATAAATTCTCCATGACTTCATTTCTTCCCCGGAAAAAGGAGGGTGATAATAACATCAATCTAAGAAAACCTGCTGGAGGACCGACTTAGGATGTCTGCCCCATAGTAAGTGTTCAGTAAGCGTCAGCCATATTACTACCCATTCTTCAGCATTGCTCTTGTAAGACCCAAGCTTGTAAGAGGGAAAAGAAATACAACTTTGTAAATGGGACAACATTTTAAATGATCACCAGGAAAAAGCGCCCTTGGAAAGCCCTTTAACAAAGCCAATTGACAAACAAAAAACACCCTGTTGTTTTTCTAGTTCATTTATAAGATGGCTTAACATGGGTCATGCCCACAAAAGAGCCCTTTAAGAACAGGGAACTGACTCAGTCTTTCTACTTGAATTCAACCCAGAAAGTCTCAGAATATCTCCTACCTGTAAAGTTCTGGTACCCGTTAAGGTGGTTTTGACTGCAAGAAACAGAAAACCACTAAATCTGCTGATCCTTTGAGGCACTTGATTATTTCACATGACAAGAGATCCAGCTTTGGTTTCAGGCCTCCTTGGGCTCTGCCCTGCTCTGGTGCCAGCTTAATCTTCAGGCTGGTGTCAAGATGGCTGCTTTCACTTCACATGTCTCATCCAGATACACAACATCTCTTGTAAGCAAATGGATACCACTTCCTTCTGTCTCTTTTTAAGAGCAAGGGAACCTTTCCCAGAAGCCCCTCAGCAAAACTCCTTCACGTCTCACTGACCATAAAGTTTACTCATTATGGACCTGTTCATGGACAGTGCCAGAAGCAGGAAAATGGCATCACACTGACAGACATGAGCTTCTCTTGGCCCCCACCTTAGGCTCCCAGCCTCCTCTGAGGCACACAGCTCTCTTCTTCAAGAGACTCTGGAACAAAGTCAGGATTGTGTCAGGAAAAAGGAGAGTAGATGCTCCCAAGGGGAAAGCAGCAAGAGCATCTGTAGGGAGGACATCCAACTGCTGCCCTCAAACCCACACGCCAGGTAGGGGCAGAGACACCCACAAAGAATTAGCCCATCGACTTGAGTGTAATGACTAAAATAGAGTTTTGATCAACAGATGTGGGAATGTGAAGAAAATGATTAGTTTTCTGTCAATCATAAAAAATTATATTAAAATACACTTAATGTAAACTTACCATGGTAGCTATTTTAACATGTACAGTTCAGTAAAGTATATTTACACTGTAGTGTATTTATCTTCATAAAATTTTTATTGTGCAAAGCTGAAACCTGTACCTATTTGGCAACTTTCTACTTCTGGCTCTCTTAAGCTGCTGGCAAATAGCATTCTATTTTCTGTCCCTATGAATTTGACTACTCTAGGCACATCGTGGAACTGGAATTGTGCAGTACTTACCCTTCTATGAATGGCTTATTTCATGCAGCCCACTGTTCTCAAGTTTCGTCCATGTTTTATCACGTGTTAGAACTGCACTCTTTTTTCCAGCTGAATAATATTCCAGCATATACACACAGCTGGCCCTCCATATGTGTGGTTAACCAGCCACAGAATCATAAGCATTCAGAAAAATACTGTGCCTGTGCTGAGCATGTGCAGATGTTTTTCTTGTCATTCCCTAAACAGTAGCAACTATTTACATAGCTTTGACATTGAATTAGCTCTAATACTCAACCTAGAGATGATTTAAAGTGTATGGAAAATGTGCATGGGTTATGTGCAAACACTGGACTATTTTATGAGACTGTAGCATCATTTGATTTTGGTATCCTGGGGACCATTTTCCCTCTGATATAGGGGGCAGCTGTGTATTCTGTTTTTTTAATCCATTCATCCACCCGTGGCAACTTGGGCTGCTCTTACCTCTTGGCTGTTTTGAATAATGCTGCAATGTACACAATGTGTAGATCTCTTTGAGAGCCTGCAATTTGGTTCTTTTGGAACCCAAGAGTGGAATTGTCAAATTGAATTTTGAAATCTTTCATGGAAAATTGTGTCATTGTAAAAATAGCAGCTGAAGGTGCTTTATCACATATGTTTAGACCTTTGCTGCCCAATTGTGGTACTTGAACCAGTGGCTAGATTAGCACACCTGAGGAAGGCTAGACCTGTATTATCCCAGACCTGGTCCTGGCCCCTGGATTCAAATGCGCAGGAAGATTCCAGAAGCCCTGAACATTGCTCTCCTGGGAGTTTACCACCAGATAGACCCTGCCGTCTTAGGTTTTACCTTCATTCAAAACTTCCATTTTCTTTCCCTTTTTCTGTCATTTGTTTTCAGAGACTTGGATTGGAGTTTTAACATCTTGGCTACAGAGAGATTTTCTTTCTTTCCTCCACTTCCTATTAACTCTGGAATTAAAACAGCAGGAATAGGAAAAGAAGACCTATGTTGAGGTGACTGCTAATTAAGTCCCATCTTGAAGATGATTAGTTTAATGCAGCACCAAAACAAACAAACAAAAAGAGCATATTTCAGTTTTGGTTGAGAAAGTTCACAGAGAAAAACAGAAGTATGTGAAAAGAATTGCTAAGTGACAGATAAATAGGCTTACATTATTTAAACTGGCACCCAGCACAACTTAAACAGTATGTTTTGCATCATCTAAATTTCTAAATACCTGGAGTATATTTGTAAACATGGCAATCTAACATGTTATTGAACAGCACATTCACATTCAAATTAGCATAAACGAGGATTTACCAGCTGATTGCACAGTGTGAATGATAGTAACTAATTGTCAAGTCGGAAAGTTGCACAGATAATGGTGCTAATGCGATCAGCATGCTGCGATATGACTTACAGTAGCAAATCTGCAACTTTTCAGCTTTCTGCCCAAGTCCTTGCACAGAAAAGAACGAGTCTGGGTTCAGGCAGTATGGGCCAAATGGGCCACTAGAAAGGAAAAGAAGGGTGAGAAAGAATCGAGCTGGAGCTAGATTTGATGGGGGTGTGGAACTTTTCTTTCCCCCCCTGCGAGCCTGCACCTCTTTTATAACAGCCATCAATGGGGCTCCCTGGCCATTCAGTGCTGTAACTCTTATAGGACGCAATTGTTCGGAGGTGTGGCTCATGTCAGTCATTAATCTCCCCTGAATGGCGGCTGTGTTACCCATTCTGTCTTTGCCCAGAGCCTGCAGGCAGCTGGCCAGTGGAAAGTAACAATGGCTGCAGGGGGAGAATGGAGAGAAGGCTTTGCTGCAGATGCTCAGTCCCCAACATTGACCTTGGTCATTTCCCTCCCTGGCGGCTCACAGCAGGAGCCTGGCTTTCCCAGTGACTGCCATTGTGGGCAAGGTGGCAGCTACCTATGGGATGTGTCCCTTCCTGGAAACATTTAGACCTAAAAGGCAATTACAATGAGGGGTGGAAATGAAGGTCAATGTGGCTAAGACACCAGAAGGCAAAACACGAGCAAACAAACCCCCTGGCTTTCAGAGAGGGATTGTGGGAGGCGAGTAGGGGCTGCTCCTGGCCACTATGGGCTGTGATCTTGGTCAGGGGACACAACCTTTCTTTTAATCTCAGCCTTGCCTGCTTCACTTCCTCCATACTCTCAGATAGGTTGGCCAGGACCACTAGGGACACTTTGGCCTACGGATTCTACATATACTGCTAGCTAGCCATCAACCAATTCATCTGTCATCCATAATTATTCTTTTTTTCTTTTTTTTTTTTTTTTGGTACTGGGGATCGAACTCGGGTCCTTGAGCTTTCGAGGCAGGTGGCAGAACCACTGAGCTAAATTCCCGGCCCTATGTCATCCATATTTACCTATATCATCTACTCCTATCTGTTGCTATTACCTATTTTTCTATCACCCATATTTATCTATATTGATCTGTATCATCTGTATTTATGTACCACTATAATTTATATCTAACTACACTATCTATATTGCATGTTTTTTCTGTCTTCTATACCTGTCTATATCATCTTTATCTATGGATAGCTTTATCTGTCATCTATCTTTTTAGCTCTGTTGTCTGCCTCTGTCATCTACATCTGTAGACATTATCTAATAGATGGCTACTTAACATAGAAGCACAGATTAGGTCATATACCACTGATCGCTTCCCTGAAAAAGTGGAGAGTCGCGGAGAAGAATGACCAAATTAAAAAGCATGGTGCAGTGGCAGTAAATTGGAGGGGACTCAGCAAGACCCGCTTGTTCAAATTCTTCTCTGAGCCCAACGTCATCAGCCACATGAGTATTTGTTTCCTCTGGGATCATCAGGATGGCACTTCTCACAGGAAGATCTTGTAAGCTGCTTCCAGGGAGAAGAAAAGGAGGAACACGATAGGGACCTCACTGCATCTGCTGTTTTCTCACATGTCAGCGTGCCATTTTGGGGATGATACAACAGGTCTCATCACAATCGTATTGAATATATCTTTTTCTTTTGTTTTTTGAGAAAGGCCTGCTTGTGGCTGAGCCTGTAGTAATTATGATTATCAGTAATAATTGCCGCTGCTATCACTACAAGGAGAAGAAAATGAACTGGTGATGCCTGTAGAGGAGTTAGCAGCAGATTTGAGTGAAAGTGTTGGGTGATTCTAAGCTATGTATTGACCAGCACCTTTTCTTATTAATCCAGAAGGCATGATATTAATAACACACCTTTAGGAAAAAGGAAAAAAAAAAAAAAAGGAAATGTGCAGTTCCCAGAAGCTCTTTGTGCCCATCAAGGTAGAGGAAAGTCATTATTAATTCATCTGAACAAAAATCAGTGCTTCTGAAGACGTCAAGCCCCAGGAAACAGAAACACACATTCCTGCAGTGAGACAGGCATCTTATGACCTAAGGGTGGAGGCTGCATGCTGCCAATGGCGGATGAGCATGAAGAAAGAGCCTGACTTCTCCAGGACACTGTTTGCATGCCTCAGGTCACCTGTTCCACAAGAAGAATTAGCATATGTTTTGTTTAAATCAGAGTCAAGTTTTCTGCCACTCACTACCAAATTCATTCTATTCCAAAATCAACATTAAAGAGGGAAGATGACAGTTTATTTCTAAGGTTTCACCTTGTCTGTGTCCATGCCTTTCGCTAAAGCATCCAGCCATCCCTCATTCTTGTAAAAGCACCAGTATTTTCCTGACTCACTGATGTGAATCTGGACTGTGTCATTTGTGTGAGCCAATGGAATGCTGATGGGTATAGCCAACAGAGGCTTCCAAGATGGTTGTGGCTTGGGGCTTCTTCCACTCTGAGAATTTGTCTTATGTACAGTGTGTGATTGAAAAAGATAGTGAATGTTTAATTTTTTAAATGTTTTACACTAGAAGATATATTGATTGCATTAATACCCCTTGCTTCAAACATGGCCATCCCATTATTCTTGCCACTTTTTGAAGCATTTCTGAAAGTCCTCTTTCGTGTCTTTAGTTGTGTCGTTGTGGCTATCTTGATGTCCTGAGTTAATTCAAAGTGTTTACTTTTCATGGTGCATTTGACCTAAGAGGAGAGTCCAGAAGTCATATGATGACAGATGCAGTGAATAAGGTGAATGATGACCCATCATAATGCTGTTAACAAGCCTGCTTTGCTATTGAAGAACACACTCAGCAGTGGCATTCATTGTGTTTTTGACTATAACATCATAAGATATTCTTGAAGCAGGGTTTCCAGAAATTCTGTGTCAGAAAGTGCCAAGAACAATGGGATAAATGTGTTTGAAGCTAGGTTGAGAATTTTGAGGGTGATTAATGGCAATGTGTCTTTTACTGTGATAAAATTTAAAAATTTAAGCATCTACCATATATTTTAATTATCCCCTATAGCTGCTGGACCTGGACTAATAAGAGACAAAGATAATGGCCCTGAACAGCTGAAGGGAATGAGAGACAAACCTGAACATTCTGCATCTTAGAGCTTTGCCCAGCTTCCCCCAGCTTGAAGAAGAACCACCCAGCTGAGCCCAGCCTAGGTCAGCTGGACTGCAGACCAGCTAGTCACTGAGCAGGACAGTAACTGCCATGGAAACTTCTGTGATTGAGGGATGTCTTGTTTTGAAGTAATACTGTGGCTGATCAATTAATACTGTCCAGTTTTGTGACCTAATTTTTTAGTTAGCAATGTGTTGTAAACATAATGAGCTTCTGCAGCTTGAGTTTTAAAAACTGCACAGTATTTCAATTTTTGCAATAACCTAATTCCCTTAATTTCTGTGATTGAGCACTCAGGCATTTCTAATGTTTTGCTAATATGAATAAAACTCCATGAACATCTTTATATAACTCTTCACTCATGTGCCTGATGATTTTCCCTAAGATACATTCCTAGAATTGGAATTGCTAAGTCAAAACACATGCACATTTTAAACCTTTTAATACTTATTAAAAATGGCCCTTCAGAAAGGTTGGAACAATTTCTTCTTCTATCAAAAAGAAATGAGTGCTCATTTCCCTGAATCTTTCTGGGTTAGATAGCATCATGCTTATTGTTATTATTTTTTCCGGGTCTTGAGAGTTGGATGATAGTGATGCTGTATTTTTTAGTGTGTTACATATTTTGTTAGTTATAAAAGAAGTTTCCCTCCCCTCCATCTCTCTCTCAATGTGAGGGTACAGCAAGAAGGTGGCCATCTACAAGCCAAGAAGAGAGGCCTTATAACAAAACCTGTCTTGCCAGGACTCTGATTTACTTAGATTTTCCAATCTCCAGAATTGTGAAAAATGAATGTCTGTTGTTTAAACTACAAAGGCTATGGTATTTTGTTATAGCGACCCAGACAGACTCATACCACTTAAATCCTCACTGGGTAATTTCAAGTGTTTTATTGTTGCTGCTGTTGTCATTGTTTCCTAGTCCTGGGAATCAAATCCAGGGCCAGAAGCATGCTAGGCAGGCTCTACCACTGAGTCACACCCCCAGCGCATTCTCAGATTTCAAATAGTTTCATTGGATTATTCAGTCCTTTTTAGATAAACAGTTGGGTTTTTTGGGTAACTGATGTTCAGTGGTGGCTTCCTGCCTCTTGTATAGAGGTTGGGCATTTACTCTTCCTCCAGTCTGTACTCCTGGCCTTCTCCAGGTCCTGTGTCACTCCTCCTGCCCCAGGGCATCTCTGTTGTGCCTGTAGAGGAGCATCTGCTACCATCATGGCCACGCTCCCTGAAGTCCAGGGTCCCTAGTTCCCAAATTCCTGCAGTCTGTCACCTCCTTGACCTGGTTGCCGCTCCCTTCTTGCCCTGAGATCCTTAGCAAGTCTGCAGCCCCTTGGGGACACAGAGTGAGTACTGGGTGTCTCCCTTACTCAGTTTCTGAGCTCATGCCCTGTCCTGCCTGTGTGGTCACTATCCCCCTAATGTCAGAGATCCTACATCAGGGTTGATGTGGTGGTGTTATATGAAATAGTTTCCAGGAAGGCAGATTTGGAAGTGGCAGATTGGGCCATGGGTACTGTGTTAGTTTATAGCAAATCCCGAGATAATTAATTTATCACGAGGAAGAGGTAATTTTGGTTCATAATTTTGGAAAGAGTAAGGACTTCAATACACCTTTTTAGGAGAGGACACAATTCAACAAAATGGCACAGAGGCACAGTAACAGAACCTTCTGGACCACAGAGACCATGGTGGGAGGGACTGCGGACTCTAAATATGGGGGTGTCCATCCTTCCCTCGTACCCCTAGTTGTGCAGCACTCGCACACCCATCCTGGGAGCTGCTTTCTCTGTGTTACACAGGATAAGGCCAGATCTCACAGCTTCCTGAAAATCAGGGACTTGTACTCCTCCCACCGTGCAGAAACCCTAAGGACATGGTGCTGAATGACTGTTTCTAAAGAAGCGTCACCTTGGAGAAGAATGAGCTCCTAGGGAGCAGGGTCTAGACCTGAAGCCTGTGGACAAAGACTATTTTTCTGCCAGAGAAAAAGCTAGAAGGGTAAAATTAGCAATATAGAAGATTTTCCAAAAACCAGGCCAGCAAGCCCTAAGCAGGGGTGTCCTGTACAGCTTCTCAGAAACGCTTCATGTTGTTAATCCTGGTTTTAATTTCTAGCCTTATTAAAGGCTTTATCTCCATCTCTCCTCTGCTGAAAAGCCAGATGCATGTAATGATCTTTATTTCTGTCATTTTCCCACTGGTCACAGTGTCTGTGTTGCTTAATCTTTTTTATTTCCACGTGGATTAATGAGGGCTGCGTGGCTCTGTCTTTGTCCCTCCGATGAGTTCTGGGGACGAGCATCTGGGGGATTCAGCACATTTCCCAGTGGAGGAGTAAACACTGGGCAGCCGCCTTGCCGAAATGGGCCAGAATAGAATCAGCAGGACCCGCTGGATGGCTCCCAAGAACTGTTTTTGTGTGCCACCCATGGAACTTGTCTGGGAGCCTTTGGAAGCACCACGAACAGCATTAAAAAACAAAACAAAACAAAACAAAAAACAGGGAAAGAAGAGCAATCATAGTAATCTTAGAGCCAAAAATGACCTTAGAGATCATGTAACCAAACGAAGCAGAACAAAACAAAATAGAGCAAAATAAAACTGTAGAGTGGTTATGTGAGCCTCTAAAGAGGACAGAGCGGGTGAGTGAAAGAGATCTGCTCTCAGGAATGCACCTTGGACTGTAGCTTTGTGAAGTTTATGCAAGCAAGTGTGAATATTTGGTGTTTTGTTTTGTTTTGCCTGCTTCAAGGACAAATGCACGGTTAAGGAAGAAAAATTTCAGATTTCTGCCACAGGCTTTATTTGATGCTATGAAGATCAGTGTTCTTAATTAATATATACTTGGGGATGCCAATGTTATTTTTTTCTTACCAAAAATTTATTTAAGGATATGTAGAAAAGCATAATCTATGACCTATTTTTTAAAACATTGAAGTTAAGCATTTGAACTGGGAAGTGGAAAAAATAACTTTCAAAGTACATCATTTATAAGGGACAAGGTCTAAACATGATTTTTTTATTTATTTATTTTTGTATGGGTATTGAACTTGGGCTCTTGTGCTTTTGAGGCAGGCACCGGAACCACTGAGCTAAATCCCCAGCCCTAGAATGAAAAGAAATGGGAATGTTTTAAGAGCTTTGTTCTGGTTAATCATAATGTATTGGCCACAATAAAGCACGGCATAGTGGCTCATGCCTGTAACACCAGCACTCCTGAGACACTGAGGCAGGAGAAGCCCAAGTTTCAGCCCAGCGTGGGCAAAACAGTAAGACTATCTTAAAAAGGGAGTGGGACAGCCTGCATGGCTCAGTACACAGTTCCTTGGTTCAATCCCCAGGACCAAAAATCAAACAAACAAATAAACAAACGTCAACCAACCAAATATAATCCCATCTGGAATTTAGAAGATTGCCCACACCTCATGTTTTCCACCTAGTGAAGACCGGGGTGTGGCCACAGGCCTGTGGTACAGTGGAGCTTGTGGGAGAAAGTGGGGATTTGCCTGTGGGTGGGGTTGGTGTCAGTGACTCGGAATTCTTCTAATGCCAAGAAGGATAGCGGTGATATGGAAGCCAGGCTTTACCATAGGCAATGTGCCACAGGGAATGCAGATTACCAGAGAGGATTGTAAGTAGAGCCCTTTAGAAGCAGGAAAGAATTAAGTTCATGAACCGAAATATATATATGTGTATACACACACACACATATAAATTCTTAATTCACCAAGCTTGTGTGTTCTTCTTATTTCACTTAACTTTATGGTCTTAGGTACAATCCATTTACCTATGAATAGCTCAAGTTTATCTTTCTTTGTGGAAGAGTAGTACTCCATTGCGTGTAAATATCTCATTTTCTTTATGTATTCATCTTTTGATTCCCTTTTCTTTTAGTCAGAATAGTCTACATGAGATGTTGCTGTTCTTTCTTTTCCTGGAAATTTGCCAGGAACTCACTGCCAACTATTACAACCCCTAGATTCTGAAGATTCTGCTTGGGGCTGGGGACGAGGCTCAGTGTTAGACCAGGGGAGTCCAACAATTCCAGGGGAAAAAAGCCACCAGATGTCATGGCTTTTTAAAAGAACCCATATTTTTGTGGTTCTGGAGGCCTCTTGCATTCCAGGGTATGTGGGGTCTCTGTCACCTACTCAGTTCTGACACTGTAGTATGACTGCAACCACAGCAATGTGTAAACAGAACAGTGCGACTGACCCAATAAAACTAAAATTTCATATAATTTTTACATGTTATAAAATGTTTCATTCATTTGATTTTTTTCAACCATTGAAAAATATGTAAATTCATAGCCAATGGACCACCCTACTTCTTACAGGCAGAAATGACTTAGGAGACCTAATGTCTAAGGTACTGTTGCCAGTCAAGGTGCAGAAGGCAAGGATAGAAGTTGGCCTCAATTGGACCCAGGAACCCCAGAAATATCAAACACTTCTGTCTGCTTCTTTCTAGCTTCAAGCTACAGTTTACCTCGGGTAGAAAGTGTGATGGCCGTTGAGTCTCATGTCTCATAGGTACAGCCATGAAGACTCACAGGCCAGCTCTCTGTGTCCCAGATCTATACTTCCTGGGGGTGAGGACCAACCTGGGAACAAACATCTGAGGCTGGTGGGTGTGAGGAGGTAGGAACATGGCAGATCCCGTGGGAATTCCAAGGATGTGGAGGTGTTTCCCAGATAAACGGATTTTTTTTTTTTTTTTTTTGGT